AATTAGAATCAAAACATACAAAAATACATGCCAGTTATATGATTTTTTAATGTAAGTAGTGACTTGCATAATTGTATCTGTTCTACTGAGAAAACTCTTCAACAAAAACGAGTGAAAAAAAATGCCCCACTATTATCTCACTTGTACTTTTTATCCCTTTTCTGATACATTTCTAATAATCTGACAACTTCCGGGTTTGATAATCAGATTAGTAAATTAATTTTGAATTATAATACTGAGACAGAAAATGTTATCTTCCCATTAGCAGCAGTAATAGTGATATTTATATGAGATAAATTTAAAAAACAAAAAAGCACTTTTTAAAAATTCAGAGAGGCTGGCAGAAGAAACTGTGAAAACAGAAGAAAGGGGACAAATTGGCAGTTATAGAAAAAGTTGAGCCCTAAGCAAACCAATGGCCAGGTTTCCCCAACTTCCATTATTCAAATAAATCTGGTTATTTTTAAAAATGTGACTACCCAAGTCAAGCTCCATTCTAATCATTTACTCTGGTCCTTTGTTGTTGGTCTCCAAAGTCTAGACAAACTCCTCTATGGACCCTGCCCTTAATCTAGCACTAAAGTTCATTCGTAAAATATAAAGGTTGTGAAGCTCTCAATGATCTGACAAGTAGGGAATCAGGTTGAAATTAGGATGATAAAGAAATCCAGGAAAGAGAAATATAAGTTAATATTTTAGCAAATAATCTTGCAACATTTTTATTTAGCTCCTGCTATTTGATAGACACTTCACATATATATAATGGTTTATAGCATATTATCATAGAAAATTTGCACTTCCAGGAAGATGGACTAGGCATACTTTTCCCTCGTCTTCCCACTAAGCATAACTAAAGACGTAGATATTTTATATAAATCAAATATAAGACACTAAAGAGTGGAGAGAATTAGGCAGACTGCCTGGGGACTTTGAGACTCAAGGAACCTCACAGTGGTGAGTTCTCTGGGTTTTCTTCAGGTCTCTTATATCCCAGACTTAGAGCTGAAGAAGTCAGCAACCCAGAAATACCAACAGACTCAAATGGACCAACAAATAAAGATCCCTAACCAAATCACATGGCAAAGGGCGGCCTAGCAAGACGGTAAAATTTTAGACAATAACCACTCTATTCCAGCCAAATATCACAGAAAAAACCATGGCCTTCCCCACATACTACAACAAAGGCTGAATGGGAAGCCTAGATTTCCGCACTCACAAGCTGATAACAAAGCACTCTGATACCCCCAAGGGTGATGGCAGGGAAGGCCAGGCAAGAGCCTAGACTTTTATCCGCACCAACCAGTATTAAGTCACCCCACCATGGTGTCAGTGCAGACTTTGTGGGGAGCCTGAACTTCTGTCTCCACCTGGCAGTAATGAGGTGGTTTCAGTGGAGGTCTACTGAAGAATCTGGTCCTCCAACATCACCCAATAGTAACAAGGCCACCTCACTGACCTGACAGTGGAGACTACGTAGAGAGTCAGAATTCCTATCCTTACCCAGTAGTAACAAGGAGTCCATCCTATGGGGTATAATTGGAAACAAATAGGGGACCTGGACTTCTACCTCTACCTGGCAGCAATGAGGCAGCACCACTCCCCTCTCCTAACAGAATTTAGTCAAAGAAAGCCAGTTAAAACCAAAGGATTAAATAAAATCTACAGAGTCTCACAACAAAATATAAAACTGTTCATATTTCAATCAAAAATTACTTATCACACCAAGAAATAGGTAGATTTCAAACTGAATGACAAAAGGAAATCAATAGATGATAACATTGAGATGAAAGGTTAGAATTATCTGGCAAAGATTTTAAAGCAGCCGTGATAAAAATGCTTCAGTGAGCTAATATAAACATGCTTCAAACAAATGAAAAAGATAGAAACCCTTAGCAAAAAGAAAAAAATCTCCCCACAAAGAAACAAAAGATATAAAGAAGAACCAAATGGAAATTTTAAATTTGAAAAATACAACAATTTAGGAGAAAAACTAGATGATCTTGGGTATGGTGATAACTTTTCAGATACAATGCCAAAGGTACAATCCATGAAAGAAATAATTGATAAGCTGGACTTCATTAAAATTAAAAACTTCTACCCTGTGAAAGACAATGACAAAAGAATCAGAAGACAAGACACAGACTGAGAGAAAATATTTGCAAAAGGCACATGTGGTAAAGGGCTATAATACAAAAGATACAAAGAATTCTTAAATCTCAACAATAAGAAAGCAAACAACTTGACTGAAAAACGGACAAAATGCACACCTATTAGAATGGCCAAAATCCAGAACATTGACAACACCAAATGCTGACAAGGAGCAACAGAAACTCCCACTCATTGCTGGTGGAAAAGCAAAATGGCACAGCCACTTTGAAAGACAGTTTGGCAGTTTCTTACAGAACTAAATATACTCTTACCACACAATCTAGCAATTGCACTCCTTGGTATTTGCCCTAAGGAACTGAAAATTTATGTCAACACAAAAACTTGCACACAGATATTCATAGAAGCTTTATTCATAATTGCTAAAACCAAGATGTTCTTCAGTAGACAAATGTATAAATCCACTGCGATACATCCAGACAATGGAATACTATTCAGTGCTAAAGAGAAATAAGCTAACAAACCATGAAAAGACATGGAGGAAACTTAAATGCAAATTACTGCGTGAAAGAAGCCAATCTGAAAAGGCTACATACTGTATGACTTCAGTTATATGACATTCTGGAAAAGACAAAACTATGGAGAAAGTGATTGCCAGGCACTGGGAGGAGGGAAAGATGAATAGTCAGAGCACAGAGGATTTTTAGAGCAGTAAAACTATTCTGTCTGATATTGCAATGGTGGATACTTGTCGTTATACATATGTCCAAACTCATAAAATGTACAACACCCCAAGTGAACCCTGATGTAAACTAGAGACATTGGGTGATAACGATGTATTAATGTAAGTTCACCAATTTTAACAAATGCGCCAATCTGGTGTGGGATATTGATTGTGGTTGTACTTGCGTGGCGACGGGGTATATGGAAACTCTCTATACTTTCCACTCAAATTTTTTTTTTGTGAACCTAAAACTGCACTAAAAATAAAGTTTGTTAATAATAAAAAATAAAAATAAACGTGTATTTATACACACACAAATAGGTACCAACATCTTATGCTTACAACTTTTCTATAACTCTAAAAGAACAACAAATTTTCTAATTTAAAAAAATTAAATCAAAAAGAAATAAAAAACTGAGGAAAAAGAAAAATATTTAGGGATGGACTCAGCAGCATGGAAAGGCCAGAGGAAATAATCAATGAACTAGAAGATGGAACATAGAAATTACCCAAACTAAACAATGGAGAGAAAATAGACTGAAAAAAAGTTCAAGAGCCTCAGAGACCTGTGGGGCTATAACAGCAAATCTAATATTCATTTCATCTGAGTCCTAGAAGGAGAGTAAAAAAAAGGGCAGAGTTGTAAGAGAACTTGAAGAAATAATGGCTGAAAACTTCCCAAATTTAGCAAGAGATGTAATCCCACAGATTCAAGACACTGAGTAAAACCCAAAGAAGATAAATTACAAGAAATCCACACCAAGAAACATTATAATTAAACTTCTAAAAACTAAAGACAAAGAAAAAAGTCTTGAAAGTAACCAGAGAAAAATGACTCCTTACTTACAATGAAAAACTCATTCAAATAACAGAGGATTTCTCATCAGAAACCATGGAGATGAGAAAGAAGTGGTTCAACATTTTTCAGGTGCTGAAAGAAAAGAACTGTCAGCCCAAGATCCTACCCAGTGAAAATATCCTTCAGGAATACAGGGAAAATCAAGACATTATCACGTAAAGGGAAACTAAGAGAATCTGTCATCAGCCACCTACCATAAAAAAAATGACTAAAGGAAGTTTTCTAAATAAAAAGGAAACAATAAAAGAAGGAAACTTGGAAGGAAGGTAAAAAGAACATGATAAACAAAAATATCAGTAAATATAATAAGCTTTTCTTTCTCTTGAGTTTTCTAAATAACATTTGACAGTTGAAGCGAAAATTATAACTGACTCATGTAGCTCTAAATGTATGTAAAGGAAATATTTAGGACGATTATATTACAAATGGGGGAAGGTAAAAGGACACAAATTGAGAAAAGGTCCCTATACTCCACTCAAACTGGTAAAATGATGACATTAATAGATTGTGATACTTATGTATATATAATGTAATACCTATCACAACAACTAAAAATGCTGTACAAAGAGATACACTCAAAAATGCTGAGACAAAAGAAAACGGAATTCTAAAAAATGTTCAAGTAACCTACAGGAAAGCAAGAAAAATAAAACAGAGAGGTGAAAAATAAAAAAAAAAACAGAAAACAATAATAAAATGGCAGACATAAGTCTTAACATATCAATAATTACATTTAATATAAATGGCCCAAATATATCAATTAAAAGACAGACATAGAGTGGATTAAAAAACTTGATACAACTGTGTTTTCTACAAGAAACTCGCTTCAAATATAATGATACAGGCAAGTAGAAAGTAAATAGATGGAAAAAGATATATCATGCAAAGGAAGGAAAGCAGGAATGGCTATATTAACATCAGCTAAAATAGACTTCAGAGCAAAGAAAATACCCGAGACAGAGAGGGACGTATACTACATGATAAAAAGGTCAGTCTCTCAAGAAGACAGAGCAATCATATATGTGTGTGCACCAAACACCAGAGCTGCAAAATATGTGAGGCAAATACTGACAGAACTGAAAGGAGAAATAGATAAAACAATTATAGTCGGAGACTTCAATAACTTTCTTTAACAATTGATATAACATCTAGACAGAAAACAAGCAAAGGTATAGAAGAACCACATAACTGTCAACCAACAGGATCTAACTGACATTTATAAAACATTCTACCCACAGAATACACATTCTTTTCAAGCGCCCATGGAATATATACCAATATAGACCATCTCCTGGCCATAAAACAAATCTCAACACATTTTTAAAAATTTAAATCATGCAGAGTGTTTTCTCTGACTATAATAGAATAAAACTAGAATTCAATAACAGAAAGATAGTGACATCTCCAAATAATTGAAACTAAACAACACATTTCTAAATAATCCACGGGCCAAACTGAATGAAAATGAAAATGAAAAATCTCAAAATTTGTGGAATACATGTAAAGCAGTGCTGAGAGGGAAATTTATTGCACTAAAAGCATACATTAGAAAAGAGAAAAATTCTGAAATCAATACTATAAACTCTTACCTTAAAAAAACAGAAGAAAAGCAAAATAAACACAAAGCAAGCAGAAAAAGGAAATAAGGTAAGAGCAGAAATCAATTAAATTGAAAACAGAAAAACAATAGAGAAAATCAACAAAACAAAAAGTTGACTCTTTATTTAAAGATCAATAAAACTGACAAATCTCCAGCAATACTAACAAAGAAAAAAGGAGAGAAGACATGAATTATCAATATCAAGAATGAAATAGCAGATATCGCTACTGACCTTGCACATGTCGAAAGGATAATTGGTGACTACTATGAACAATTCTAGACATATCAATTTGATGACTAGACAAAATGGATCACTTACTTGAAAAACGCAAACTACCAAAACTCATCAATATGAAGTGGATAATTCGAATAGTCCTACACATTCTAAGGAAATTAAATTTGTAATTAAAAACACCCAAAACAGAAATCTCTAGGCCCATGTAATTTCACTAGAGAATTCTACCAAATGATTACAGAAGAATTAACACCAATTCTGCACAATCAATTCCAGAAAGGAAAAGAGGAAGACTCTCCCATTCATTTTATGAAGCCAGTATTAGATACCAAATCAGATAAAGACAGTACAGGAAAGAAAACTAAAGACAAATATTCCTCATGTATATATAGATGCAAAGATCCTTAACAAAATAATTACAAATAGAATTCAGCAATACATGAAAGACGTTGTATACGTCATAACCAGTAAGGTTTAGTCCACAGATGCATGGATAATTCAATATTTGAAAATCAGTCAGTATAATTCACCACATCAACAGGCTAAAGAAGAAAAATCACATGATAATATCAATTGATACAGAAAAAGCATTTGACAAAATTCATCACCCATTGATGATAAAATAAGAAAGAAAAAAGAAATAGAGGAGAACTTTCTCAACTTGATAATGAGCATCTACAAAAAACCAACAACTAACATGGTGCATAATGGTGAAAGACTGAATTCTTTCCCCTTAGATCAGGAACAAGGCAAGGATGTCTGTTCTCATCACTCTTATTCAATGTAGTGCTGCAAGTTCTAGCCAGGGCAATAAGGCAAGGAAAGAAATAAGCACACAGATTGGAAATATGGAAGTAAAACTGTACCTATTTGCAAATGACATAATTGCTTACCTAGAAAATCCCAAGAATCATCCCAAAAAACCCTCAGTGACCTAATAAGTGAGTTCAGCAAGGTTACAGGATACAAGATCAACACACAAGAATCAACTCCACTTCTATACAGTAATAATGAACAAGTAGAAAACAAAATTTAAGGGACAATATCATTTACAATCATTCAAAAAGAATGAGTATTTAGATGTAAATCTAACAAAACACATACAAGATTTACAGATTAAAAACTACACAATGGGGGCCGGCCCGGTGGTGTAGTGGTTAAGTTCATGTGTTCTGCTTCTGCGGCCTAGGGTTCACAGGTTCGGATCCCGGGCATGCTTATCAAGCCATGCTGTGGTGGCATCCCATATAAAGTAGAGGAAGATGGGGATGGATGTTAGCCCAGGGCCAATCTTCCCCAGCAAAAAGAGAAGGATTGGCAACAGATGTTAGTTCAGGGCTAATCTTCCTCACCAAAAAAAAAAAAACCTACACAATGCTCATAAAAGAAATCAAAGACCTAAATAAATGGAGAAACATGGTTATGGATTAGAAGATTCAACAAGGTAAAGACACCAATTCTTCCCAAATTGATATATAGGTTTAATGCAGTTCCAATCAAAATCTTAACAAGATTTTGTATCTATAGACAAGATTATTTCAAAATTTATATGGAATGGCAAAGGAACTAGAATAGCTAAAACAAATATGACAAATAAGAATAAAGTGGCAATAATCAATCTACTTGAATTCAAGGCTTCTTATTCAGTTCCAGTTATCAAGACTATGTAATGTTGATGGAGGGATAGATGCATAGACCAGTGGAACAGAAAAGAGAACTCAGTAATAGACCCAGACTCACACAAATACGCACAATTGATTTTTGACAAAAGTACAAAAGCAATTTAATGGAGGAAGGATAGCTTTTTCAACAAAGGGTGCTGGAACAATTGGACACCCAAAGCCAAAATACAAACCTCACCTTAAGAATCACACCGTATGTAAAAACTAATTTGAAATGGATCACAGACTTAAATGCAAAATGCAACACTAAAAATCTTTTCAAAAAAAGGTGAGAGACCATCTTTAAGATCCTTAGGATCTAAGGCTAGCTCTTAGACTTGATGCCAAAATTACAATCAATAAAAGAAACAATTGATAAATTGGGACTTCATCAAAATAAAAAAAATAAATTTTGCTCTGTAAAAGACCCTGTTAAGAAGATAAAAAGACAAACTATCAAATGTCAGAAAATATTTGTAAACCACATATATAATAAAGGACTAGAATACATTAAAAGAAACTCTCAAAACTCAACAGAAAATAGCAAACAATCCAATTAGAAAATGAGCAAAATGCATGAAGAGACGTCTCACTACAGATGATATAGAGATGGAAAAGAAGCACATGAGAAGATGTTCAACATCATTAGCCATTTGCTAAATGCAAATTAAAACCACAAAGAGATCTCACTATATACCTATCAGAATGGCTAGAATAAAAAATAGTGACAACACCAAATGCTGGTGAGAATGTGGAGAAATGAGATCACTCATACATGGTTTGAAATGAAATGAAATGAAAAATGATACAACCACTATGAAAATGAGTTTGGCATTTTCTTAAAAAAACAAACTAAACAGACAACTACTGTACAACCCAGCAATTGGACTTTTGAGAATTTATCCCAGAGACATGAAGACATATGTTCATGAAAAACCTGTAAACAAATGTTTATAGCAGCTGCACTTGTAATAGCCAAAACTGGAAACAACTCAGATGTCCTCAATGGGTGAAAAATTAAACAAACTGTGGTACATTCACACCATGGAATACATATTCAGCAGTAAAAAGGAATGAACGATAGATACATGCAACTATCTGGAAGAATCTCCAGAGAATTATGCTGAGTCAAGAAAATCTAATCCCAAAATGCTACATACTGTATAATTCCATTTAAATAACATTATTAAAACCACAAAATTATAGAAATATAGAACAGATTATTGGTTGCCAGGGGTTAAGGAGGGAAGTGGAGTGAGAGAGAAGTGGATGTGGCTATAAAATGGCAACAGGAGATGCTTGTGGTGACAGAAATGTTCTATATTTTGACTGTATCCCTGTCAACATCCTGGTTGTAACACTGTACTAAAAGTTAGCTGACAAACAGAAAAGCTAATATTGAACCCAGATACATTTGTTTCCAGGGACCACGCTATTTCTAATTTATTTTGCCTCCTTAGAGGTGAACACATTTGATACGGACCTTAAAGTTTGGGTAGTGCTTGGCTCAGAGGAGAGAAGTTGAGGGAGCTTCCCACTTCTGAGCCTCAATAGAACAGAGAGGAGGGGAGACGAGGGGAGGGGAGGGGAGGGGAGGGGAGGGAAGGGAAGGGAAGGGAAAAGAAAAGAGCATCAATAAAGCAGGACTATTTGGGGAACAAGTAGACCAGTTTCACTAGAGAGGAGATTTAGAGAAAAATGGATGGGGAATACCTTGGGCCCAGGGTGACATCAGAGTGAGGGGTCCATAGATGGTGGCTGATGAGTTAGCCCTCTCCTCCTAGGAATGAGGATTAAAAGTCATCCCTGAGCAAGGAATGACTCACTATAAATTGCATTTTAGAAAAAGCAGCCTGGCGTGTTGTTCTTTGATGTCTGTCACAGTGTACTCTTGACATTTTTTAAGACCATTCTTGAAGAAATAATGTGAGCAAGAATGCTCACCACTTCAGGATGGCAAGAAATACTAAGAATCAGAGGGCTCATCACAAAAAATATGGAAGCAGAATTAAAGTAACCGCTCTCTCCAGTCAATCCTCCACAATGCTGCAAAGGGGTACTTCTGAAATAAAACTCCGATCCCACTGCTCATGTATGTAAAACTCTGCAATGGTGCCACATGGACTGTGAAACAAAATCCAAACTCTTTATCAGAGCTGATGAGGCGTTGGGTAATCTAGCATCTCTGGGCTTTGTCTCCACTATTCTAGAACACAAACTCTTGTCTCCCCCTGTCCCTCTGGATAAGACTGTCCTCCCCCCGCAGCATGTCATTGTAGTACTGGGGCGTGGAAAAACCTATCAGGCAAAAAGAAGATTGATGGAGAGAGGGAAGGAAAAGTCCCTCTCATTTCTCTTTACCTCCTGTTCTCCCAAGAGGAAGCTTTTTATTTTGACATCTTCCTCCATGAAAGTCAAATTGCTGACCACTGTTTAAGGTCTAGGATGTCTTTTTTCTTCCCCCTTTTCTCTCTCTCTACTCCTCTTACATGCGCCTCTTTTCCTCTCTCCTTGCCCTGCGTTCCTCCTTCTTTTCTCTTCCTTCTTTCTCTGTCTCTCTCCTGTCATCAGGTTTATTCCCCCTTCTCTTTCGCAATACCTGGTTTCCTTTAGCCCACCATAATTCAGCAAATATTCTCCGTGTTATGCCCTTCTCTCTCCAGCCCCCTGCCATGCCCGTATTCTGAAAGTTTATGAGACCACCTGGTACTGCCACTGCCAAGATATTGTAAAACACAAAACAAACAACTAAAACTTCCAATCCAATTTCCTAAGTGTAGATTCATGGAGAAGCATAAACCAACATTTTCTACTCCTCATTCTTTCCCTTGAGATGATTTTAGATGTGCAGTTATAGATAAGGTTTGACCCTTTTTGCTAGTATGGAACACATGGTCATGAATCATTACCTTATAATTACTTTGTAGTTGTTTAAAATGAGATACCTTCCCTACCTATATATTTAAATGCACATCCAGGCTTCCTCTTGGGGGAGGTTTTATGACCTTCTACTCAAGTACACATTCATAACTTTAGTGATATTTTGTCATAACTGCCTGCCCTCCACTGGGCTGATTACCAAAGCTATTAATATACAAACCACATAAAATTTCTGGACTCTTGATTTCAGCAAGAAAACTACTGCTGCACGATGCACTGTTTTGAGCCCCCATAGAACTACTGTTGAACTACATGCTGCTAACATCATTGGAGGATGTTGAGAAACATGCATCTTTGAAAATGTTGGCAATGACAGCATCAAGTCAATGCCTCTTCTCAGGAATCATGAGTTGCAGGTCACTAGGATCTCAGAACCAGAAATAGCAGGCTTTTCCTGCCTTTGCTTAGTTTTCATTTTATGGGCACCATAATTTGTGCAACAGATTGTGTTTCCCCTTTGTTGTGGCTGCTGGTAAATTTACAACCAAATTTGAGGCTCATCTCCAGCAATTGCAGAGTGTCTTACGATATTCATTACATGTTATCAAACGTTCTCTCTGTTTATCCTGTTTTCCTGATTTCATTTTCCCTTTGCTAACATTTCCTCACCTTTCTTTTTAAAATTTATCCCATTGTATGCATGCAGATAGAAAGATAGATAGAGATAAGCTGTCTCAAATCACTTTCTAGAATGATTTGGAGGCATAAATAAATCAATAATGCTTTTCATCACAGCATCAATAACACTCACTCCAATAATATGCTTTTGCTCATGCTTGCTTTAGAATGTGTAATTGAACCTCTGAAAAACTGCTCAAGGCTCAATCCACTCCATTCTTAGGTTGCTCTAGATAGGATATGACCTCTGGCCCGAGAGCCACTTCAATTTAGAGAAAAAACGTTTGAAGACCTGGAAACAGACCTAAGGCTATATGGTAATTTAAGCCACATATTTTACAGAAAAGTTTTAGGATCTGTGGATATTACAGAAGACAATATCAGTGTTTAGAGCTAGAGCAGTAGATGGCTTCATGGAGATGAGACAAAGTGAAGCTTGTAGAGTGGCTGGAATTTGCATTTTAATGATACTCTTTGTGTTGTCTGTTTTATTTTCTTCTTCTTTTCCTTTACTCAATTTCTAATCCAAAACCTTCCAAGTTTGGCGGTAGTGACAAGTGATAAGAACTTCTGTAGCAGGCAGCAGTGCCCCAGGAAACCACCATGCAAATCGTCGGAGAAACAAATCAGTTTGGGACCAAAAGTGACAATGCTTTGTTCTACTTCTCTTAGGTAAAAAGCCTTATTTCAGAGTTACCTCTGAATTAAGGGTGGAGATTTGTTCTTTACATAAAAATCTCCTCTTACTGGCTCCCCGTTGTTGTTTTTCAGTCCTTGTTGGGTGGGGTGAGGAGAGCCTTGGCTAGGGAGAGGAATATTGTCCAGAAAGTAGTGTTGTGCAGGAAGAAATGAGAGTGACTACAGGTATTACGGAAAAAGGAGGAATCAAAGAGAGCATCAAGACTCCCAGTCTGAACTGCTGCCTGGGAGAAGAGTTTGGGCAGCGTTCTACAGAACTAGAGAAGTCAGGAGAAGCAAAGGTCCTCATATCAAGAGACACCAAATATGGAAAGGAACGCACATGGCTTCTAAGGTGAGCCCTTTGCTCACTCTCCCTCCATGGATGACAGTTGCTCTCAGCACTTGACAGCAGCTTCAGCCAGGAATTCCCAAACAGTGCAGCTCCATCACTAGTGCACTGAGACCACCCCTGCTGGAGAGTCACTTCCCTGGGGACCAGAGATGTCTGACCCCATGAGGCAGCGATGAGTTAGCTAGGGAGACAGCTTGCCTGGATGTGCCGCTGCCTTCCACTCTCTGGCCACATGCGTTAGTTCCACGATGAGAGCAGGCCGTCATCCTGAAGTAGAACGCCTGTGCAAGCACGATGCTGGGTGGGCAGCAACTGCAGATACAGAGGAGAATGTGGGCTCCAGGCTGATGCAAGACTTAGCAAGCTCAAGGCCCCCAGTGTCAACAAAGGTCAGCAGCTACCAAAAAAAAATCCATGCAAATAACTGTGCTCAGGCCATTAAACGTGTTCTTTAGATTAATGCTACCAAACCTAATCAGAAAGTCATTATGAGGCTCTGCACAGAGGCAGCATGCTGGGAGGAAATCAAAGTAAAAAACGGAAGAGCCTGGTAAAGGACCAGCCTCTGCTCAGTCCAGTAGCCTATTTTCCCCCTGACTGTAGGAGGGTGACAGTTATCACGCTGGCAGAGACAAAGTGTGGTCTCCTGCTGCCTCTCCCCCTTCCTCTCACCCCTCTTCTTGATAGCTTCTCTTCCATCCAAGGCTTCCCTTGACCAGGGGAGCGTCTCAGCCAGCAGTTCAGGCAGCCAGGGTTCAATTCCCTGACACAGGAAGCCGGGCAGCTTCCTGAACACAGCTTTTAGAGATAATGTGGGGTCAGAACTTGCTATGAGTGCCAGATGAAACCACGGCCAGCCTGAAAGATACAGGAACGCTGGCAGATATCATTCGATAGCCTTTCAAACCAATATTCTTTAAATATTTTTTCAACACTTATTTAGTAAAAGAAGAAAAAAATGGTTTTTCTAATATGCAGATTGTATCACTAATTTAAATTCTGAATATAAATTAGATTCTACCCGGGGAAATTCTTCAAAACACAAGAAACAGAAAAAAAAAATCCTCCTTTATTTCTTTTCCACCTGAAGACATTTGGCAAAACCGTCCTGTTTTCCTGTAGTTCTTGTTACTTTTTCTTTTATAAATTCTCAAATAATGAAACTATTCATGGTTTAAAATTATGTAATAAAGTAAATCATCTAACCCTAGTGAATGACTCTACAGGGCTCAGAGTTTCAACTCCCTTTCACTGACCCTGGCTACAGAAGACTGTCAGTCGGCAGGCTCAGATTCCTGGCACCGCCTGAACTTAAGGATATGAACAAATGTACACAAAGATTGAACTCAGTTGATGGTGTGTGATTAAACTAAACATTCACGCAGAGTCAGGGCTGTAGTCAGAACCATGTAAACCAAGTTACTTGCAAGTTTAATTTGGAAGCAAAGAAGGTGAGCTTTTAATTTGGAAGCAAAGAAGGTGAGCTTTTAATTTGGAAACAGAGAAGGTGAGCTTGAGAGGAAAAGGTTCTGCAGAGAAAAGCTAAGAAAATGAAGCAAATAAGTAGAGAAAACCCTAGATGGGAGTTCCCAGAAGCCCACGAAAGACGGGAGGAGCAGTCTCAACTACTGACTTGCCATTTCCTGTACCTCTGCAGCCCGTCCTATTTTTAAAACAATCACCTCCTTCACCTTGGACTAGTTTGAGTAGGCTTCTATTACTTACAACCAGTGAACAGTGTTAAGACCAGTTTGGGTGAATGTGTGAGTGTGCACGTGTGTGTGTGTGTGTGTGTGTGTGTGTGTCTGGGGGGGATCTCAGAGGAAGGAGCCAGGAATCGTCTAAGGAAGACCTCCTAAGTCTTTGGAACAAATCAGTCAAAGTGCTAAACAACATAGAAACAACATTTATTGAGCACCTACTAAGTATTGTGTGCTGGTTGGCACTCGGAGAAAGGTGCAGCCTCTTGCGGCCGATGATGCCACAGCCCTGGCATTGTACCTAACAGTCATCATCAATGAAAGGAAGAGTTTGCTCCAGGTGGTTCTGAGTCTGACAAGACACTAGAGAGGAGGGCTGCAGGAGGATGACGTGACCAAAGTGGAAGCCCCGCTGGACGGTGTGTAAGGCTGAACATAATTTATGAAGTTCCAGAACAGTGCCCTCAGAAGATGAATGGGGGAGGCAGCTCCATTTTGGTCAGGTGCTCAGTCTTTCTTGACTGGCTGTTACATTCAGGTAATAAAGGAAAGATGGAAAAATTACTCAGAAACTATTAAGCCCCAAGCTACCGTCCAGTACTAAAATGTTGTAAATGTCAGATCTAAATCCTATTTCTTCCAGAGTACTAATTACATTGTCCTCCAGAGCATTAATGTTAAAGTCTATAAGGAAAAAGACAAATACAGTCATTGGCAAATATGTAGACTAAATACATTCAACATGATCAAGGGGAAAGTGTTCCTGGTGGAGCAGGAATGAAGGCGTATTGAAGTCATAACCACCAATCTGTGAAGGGTTCGGAGATTCTCCCTGGGTGAGTTAGGACAGCTATACATCCCTCCTGAGTTCAGCAGGCCTCGGTATTGTGTTAAGTCAAAGGAAAAAAATATAACCTCACTTAGACACTAGAAATGGGATCACGGATATTTTGTAATGTTCAGGCTCTTACCCAAAATACAAACAAAACTTTGGTAGTTGTTCAATGTGAGAAAAATAGTTGTGGCATGTTTCCAAATCATGTGAGAGACCAAAGCTTCAGATGAATCAATAATACAAGCTGACTTCGGTCCTAGTGAATTAGGCCTGAGAGCTAGAAATCTTTCTGAAAGTCAGGAGAATGATTCCACTGAACCAACGCTGAGGGTGTTTCCACTGCAACTGGCCCTGTTAAGAAGAAAGCACTGGTGATGGAAAAGGTGTTCTCTGTATCATTGTTTTCCTCTTGATCCAACTATATATAACACTTGTGGCAGGCAGGGGGTTAGGGAATAAGATTGTTAAGCTTTGTGTATAAAAGGTATACTTTCAGAAACATAAACCTTCATTTTCAATACAGCACTTTATAAACTGAATAGCCCCCAATCCCAACCGTTAACAAGCAGTCTGCCTTTAATATTTGAAAACCAAAATTGCTTTCTATTTTAATCGATGAAAAGCAAGCTTTAACTTACAAATGGATTTTTTCCAGAATTCTTTATAAACCACTGAAAATGGATGTTTATAATGGATGTCCACTTGGTTCTCCATAAAGCTAATTCTGGCTGGATAATTCCATTCAGACAGCAGCGAGCGTTGTTCTCTTCAGCTCCTGTATAATTAATACCAAGATACAAATATATTCCTATCTATTTCAGGGGGAGCAGAAGTGAGAAAAAGAGAAGGGGAGATGATACTAGTGTCAGATGAATTCTCTAATACGTTTCCCCACTAGAGGGAAAGATAAATTAAATGTGCAATAAAAATTTAATAGCGAACAGTGATTGCACTATAGGATCCCTGATAGGAATAAGCATAATGGCATAATAAATTTTCTTGTGTGAGGAATGATTATTTGGAGCTTTAAGCTTTGACAATTCTTGTAAATCTTATCCATTTGTTAGCAATTAATAATATTAAATTGCTTCACATCTCGCTAGACAAACATCAGCAATCTTTCAAGTTATTGTCAAAGAAATGCATAATCTAGTGCACACTACTACAGAATTTTCTAAAATTTCTACGAGATGTTTAATAGCACTGTTCCAAGGAGAAATAAAAGCAATTTAATCTTTACTGCTGATATAAATACATCAACAAATATTTGTTAAATCCTGCTTTGTGCTTTTCATAGACAGCTAGCTGTCCATCAAAATCCATTTTTGCCTTGTAGAGTGCAAACTTCTATCTGGAAAGCGGCTGCTCAGGAAAGGACCATCCTCCAGTCCCCTATGGCCCTGCTGTGGCCATACGACTCATCTCCCCAATGATAGATACTGACTGGAAATTATGTTTGTGTTTGTGAGCCAAATTTTAAGAATGGGATGTGGCTCCTCTAAATTCTTTCAGCTCTGCAAGCTTGATGTAGGAGGCAACAAAATCCTGGGGTGGGAGAAACTAGACATTGAAAGTTGCTGGCCCTGAATTCACATGTTCGTGAACAGAAACACCAAGCCTGGTTAAATGAGTAAGATATAAGTTATAAATTAGATTGCATTTAAGCTGTTGCATAACTGTGGGTTTATTTGTTACAGCGTTTTGGCTCACTCAGACTAATACAACAGCATTCTTGTAGGCTTTGTGAGACCTATAAAGGAGTGAAAAACATCGCACTTACAAAAAGCAACTTTTCTCTGGTTAAAGAGACAAAGAATGCATGCAAAAAAGTAAAATAACACAAAAATATGTAACAATGTAATATTTTAAGAGATGCCAGAGAACAGTACAAAAGTAAATTAACAAACAATTGGCGTTGGCCCTAAATGCTAGGAGTTCAAAGGAGAAAATATAAATATTTATTTAAAATATATCCATGCAGAAATGGTGGGTTCTGCTGCTGTAAGCTACAGTTGAAGATATACTGCTGATAATAGTAAAATCATTTATAATGGGGTTTGCTCTTGTAAGAAATTCTTCACTTGGACAAATAAACCTAAAGCTCCAAATTTCCCCACCCCTTTTCTGATGTATTGCAGTGCTCATTTTCACTGGTTCCAGGCCTTCTGATTTGCCTGTAGCTGTAAACTTAATTTTTCTTCCTGTGACTGCCTTTGACCTGACCGCTCTGCTTCTGCTCTTATTTTGCAGAGTTTCCTTAAAACAACACCTTAGGATCAATCTTTTCCCATAACGTAAAAAGATTTCTATCATTATTCAGGAAGTAAATTTATAAATTCGAGCTAAAAGAGATTCAGTTTAAATTCCAGCCCAAATTAGAAGAGTTCTAGAAATAAGCAAGATGTATTCATATTATTTTTTAACAACCAGTTATTGAGTGTTACTATTTGTCAGACACTGGGGATATAATGATGAGCAAAAACATGTCCACATCCTTTTGGCATGTGTAGTCTAATGAGGCTTCCTATAAAGGATGATGACATATCATATACAGAAAGAACTGAATATATTAAGCTGGTAAGCCTGGAGATCACTCAGTGCTAAAAAGATAGCTATCTTCAAAGATTTAAAGGCTTTTCCTCATGGAATGGGGATTAGACTTATTCCTCATGGCTTCTGTCCACTGATGCACGCACCAAGCAATTAGAACTGTGCCCAGCACCTATTAGGAACTCAAAAAGTATATTTTGAATGAATGAATGAATGTCAGCCTGAGCCTGGGAACTTGAGTCAATTCCAAACCCTTCTCATTTGCAGCAGTAAGGAATGGTGGTTACCTCTGTCACCTAATTGCTGTGAGGCTTTGAAAAAAAAATCAGTTAATTTCTCTGAGAACCAGGATTACTGGATAAAAGCTATAGGAAACTTGATGTATTTGGGCTTGATATATATATCTGAAGCACCCTAAAAAGGACAAACACATATCTTTACATTTATTTCAGAATATGGCAGAAAACCTACGGCTGCCACGTGTTCCTTCCTTTATCCAGAAAATCTCTCATAACACAAGCACATTTCTCTCCTGGCTAGGAGTCACCAGGCTTGCATGGAATAAAAGTATGTTCACATTACAATAATCAAAACAGAACCAACTCTGCCTTTCAGTCTTCAAGCTCCTTTCAAACCAAACAAAATATGGCCCC